CAATCATGTTCGGTTTATAGTCTACTTTGAGCATGCATCTCCCATCCTGGAAGGATCTCCCAACACCCTTTATTTGGTCCTTTCTTCTCTATCTGAGCTGCGTTTTCCCCTAGCATGTGCGGCTGGCCTCCAATCCATGGAGTAAACTTACTGGTACTTATCTCGGTTATTCTTGGATATTAGTCTCCTATTTTGTTACTTTATGTTCCCCAGATGAATGCAATTTTTCTATGTCTGTCCCTCTCTGACTCATTTCGCTTAGCATGATATTTTCCATGTAGTACCACTTGTATGTAAATTTCATGACTTCATTTTTTCTAACTGCTACATAGTACTCCATTGTGTAGTTGTACCAAAGTTTCTTTAACCAGTCATCTGTTCTTGGGCACTCAGGTTTTTTTCTAGATTCAGCTATTGTAAACAGTGCTGCAATGAACAGACAAGTGCAGATGTCACTTCAACTATACTTTTTTGCCTCTTTGGGATATATTCCCAGGAGTGGTATTGCTGGGTCAAATGGGAGCTCAATTTCTAATTTTTTGAGAATCGTCCATACTGTTTTCCAAAAGGGCTGAACCAGTCGGCATTCCCATCAGCTGTGAAGGAGGGTCCCTTTCTCGCCACATCCACGCCAGCGCCGGTTGATTTTGTTCTTTTGGATGTGGGCCAGTCTCTGTGGTATGAGATGATATTTCATTGTTGTTTTGATCTGCATCTCCCTGATGATTAATGATATAGAGCATTTTCTCATGTGCCTTTTTGCCATTTGGACTTCTTCTTTGAGAAAGAAGCATCTTAGTTTAAGATAGTCCCATTTGTCTATTTCTGTTTTAATTTGCTTGGCCAATGGCGTGACATCTTTGAAGATACCATTAGCTTCAATGTCATGGAGGGTTTGCCAACTTTGTCTTCAATGTACCTTATGGATTCCGGTCTGATGTTGAGGTCTTTAATCCATTTTGATCATACTGTTGTACATGGTGGTAAGCAGAGATCTGAGCCTATAGCTGTCCAGTTTTGCCAGCACAATTTGTTAGAAAGACTTTCCTTGCTCCACTTCAAGTTTCTTGCTCCCTTATCAAAAATTAGATGATCATATGTTTGGGGGGAGATGTCAGTATATTCAACCCTATTCCATTGGTCTGAAGCGCTGTCTTTGTTCCAGTACCATGCTGTTTTAATTATTACTGCTTTGTAGTAGAGTTTGAAGTTAGGAAGTTTGATTTCTCCCATTTTCTTTTTCCCAAGAATTGCTTTAGCTGTTCGTGGGGCCTTATTGTTCAATATGAATTTGAGGAGTGTTTGCTCCATTTCTTTGAAGAATGTCGTGGGTATTGTTATAGGGATCACATTGAATTTGTACAATGCTTTGGTAAGTATTGCCATTTTGACAATGTTAATTCTTCCGATCCATGAGCAGGGGATATCTTTCCATTTTTTTGTATCCTCTTTTATTTCCTTAAGTAGTGTTTTGTAGTTTTCTTTGTACAGGTCAAGAGTGCCTTTTTTTTTTATTTGACTTCTTTCGTTTATTTTTGAGATTATTCCCAAAATGACATGTTTCAACTATTCATTTTTAATTGGTAAATGTTCTTCTTTTGTGTGAATTTACTATAATTTATTACCATTTGCAGAAAATGACTGTAGGATGTTTTCAGTATTTACCTTTTATAACAAGGTCGTTTTAAATATTCTTGTATAAATTTCTCTTAGGTATGGAATAGGGTACATGTATGTTTAACTTGCTTAAGAATCTATCATAAGCAGATTTTATGTTCTTGGCTCCCTTATTATAAATTAGCTGTACTTATTGTGAGAATTTAGTGCTGAACTTTCAATTTTGTGTCATTAATATATGTATCTCTTCGTTCTAATGTCATACTGTTTTGATCACTGTAGCTTTGTAGTATGGCTTTAAGTCAGGAAATATGATGCTTCCATTATTTTTGTTTCAGAATTGCTTTGGTTATTTTAGAACTTTTTGTGGTTTCATGCAAAATATGTACTCAGCATGTTAAGCGATTTCTCTGACCCTCAGACATCTCTTGAACTTCCTCTCATGCTGTACAGATCTTGGTGGAAGCTAATTACCCTAATACTAACCCCTGCAGAGGCATTAATGGAAATTGCTTGTTACCCAGGTTTTGTTTTTTGCTTTTTGCTTTATAATTTGGGGGGCTACCCTGATCAGTGGGCTGGAGCGATAGCACAGAGGGTAGGGTGTTTGCCTTGCACGTGACTGACCCTGGTTCGGTTCCTCCGTCCCTCTTGGAGAGCCTGCCAAGCTACCAAGAGTATCCTGCCTGCATGGCAGAGCCTGCCAAGCTCCCCGTGGCATATTCAATATGCCAAAAACAGTAACAAGTCTCAAAATGGAGATGTTACTGGTGCCCGCTCAAACAAATCAATGAACAATGGGAGGACAGTGCTACAGTGCTACCCTGAGCAGTGCTATGGGCTTACTCCTGATTTTATATCCCGGGATTGAGCCTGAGTCATCTGTTTGCCAGGCCTTAACCCTTAGCTCTCTGTCCAACCTTGGTTACCCAATTTTGTTGTAAATGTAAACCCTACCATTTTAATTGAGGTACCGTGATTTATAATGCTGTTTATGATAGCTTCATGCATATATTATTCCAAGCTCATTCCCACCACCAGAATGTCTGCTTCCCTCCACCAATGTTCCAGTGATTCCTCCTAGCTACCTTCTCTCCATTCACCCAGGTAAATTCAGTTCTGAGTATTGACTTTTGGCGGGGGGGACTCACACCCAGCAATGCACAGGAGTTACTCCTGGTTTATGCACTCAAGAATCACTCCTGGCAGTGCTGGGGGACCATATGGGATGCTGGGAATCAAACCTGGGTTGGCTGTGTGCAAGGCAGACGCCCTACCCGCTGTGCTATTGCTCCAGCCTGAGTATTTACATTTTTATGGGGGAAGTTGTGTTTACTAAAACCATTGCCATTGCCTCCATTGTTCCTGACTCTTTATAACATAGACTTCTGGATTGTTATTTATGATGTATTTTTTCTTATACTTGACATTCTTGCTCCAATTGGATTATCATTTCCTCTAAATAGTGCTTGAACATACTCAGGTTGAATATTTATTTTGTGATGAAAGTAGCTGTTAAGGTCCCTAGCATTGGGGCTGGAGTGATAGTACAGTAGGTAGGGCATTTGCCTTGCATGTAGCCAACCCAGGTTCATTTCCCAGCATCCCATATGGTCCCCTGAGCACCGCCAGGAGTAATTCCTGAGTGCAAAGCCAGGAGTAACCCCTGTGCATCGCCGGGTGTGACCCAAAAAGCAAAAAAAAAAAAAAGATCTAAAATTATTTTAAGACATTATTATGCTCATGGTGAAAACGTCCACAAAATGATAAGGTGTATAGAAGCTATATTGGAAACATAGCACATTTTATTGTAGAGAATTATTGTTCATTTCTGTTTGTCATATTTAAATGTGTTAAGGAGAATGTAAAAACCCTTGAGTAAAACGATTTAAATTGTCATCTTGGGAAAAATCTAATCTAACATTAAAAGAAATTAAGGATTAGAAATCAAGAATTGGGGCTGGAGAGATAGCACAGCGGGTAGGGCGTTTGCCTTGCACACGGCCAACCCGAGTTCGATTCCCAGCATCCCATATGGTCCCTTGAGCACCGCCAGGAGTAACTCCTGAGTGCAAAGCCAGGAGTAACCCCCTGTGCATCGCCAGGTGTGACCCAAAAAGCAAAAAAAAAAAAAAAAAAAGCAAGAATTGTTTAGTTAGTTAATATAAACAAAAGCAAATGTGTACATATAGAATATAATGACTGTGAAAGGAATTAAGGAGTACAATACTTTAAGATAAAACAAACACTTGTTTTTATAGTGGATAGTAAATTTAGGATCCTGTTACCCTAACAGTAATCCAAATTCCTTTACTTTTATTTTGTGTTGACCTTACATCATTTTATTTACTTTTTTTGATTTTTATTTTTATAAAGTTGTTCACAATAGTTCATTACAAATAATGTTCAAACACCAATTCCACCACCATGCACCTTTCCACCACCATAAGAGGAAAGTGTGCTAAGATTGTTGTGCTTCACCCTGGAGCCATCTAAGCCTTTATATAAGAGATTACCAGCATGTGTATAAAAACCAAATAAATGTGTGCTATTTTTGGTACATCAGTGGGCTAGAGTGTAAGAGGATGCGTGGTCACGAATGCGGCCACGAGTTCCAGGATGTTCTGTGTTGCTCTCTTCCAGGAGCTTTATTTCAGTCTCTGGGTCTTGGCCATTTATGAGATTATATGGTGCTAGGGACAGTTTGTGGGTGTGACTGCCAAGTTACTGGGGAGCTGGGGGGAGGAGACCCAGTCCTGTTGCAAGCGGGCTTGGAGATCTCAGTCACAGGTCCTGCATACCTGCGTTTTTCTTCAGGTTCCCCTGTAGGTGAGGCTCTGAGATATTGGAGAGCGCCCTTGAGTATGGCTGCGGTTGAATCCCAGTCCTTTTACTCTTTAGTCTAGTGTTCTGAAAAATCAGCTCTGCTGGGGAGATGACTCAATGGCTGGAGCTGACACATCATATTCCCCAGCACAGTTGGAGTAGCCTCCAAGCACCAGTGTGTGACTCACCCCAAACACTCAGCTAATGGGTCAGATACTGAAAAATATTGGGAGCTGGAGAGAAAGAATAGGGATTAAGGCACTCACATAGCATCAACCTTGGTTTGGTCCCCCAGCACTACCTGTGGACTCCTGAGCACCACTGGATATGACTCAAACTCCTCCTCCCCTTTGCCCAATTTTTAAAAAAATAGCAGAACTTAGTGACTTAAAACTTTCCAAGATATTTCATACTGTAGAAAACTGATATTCCTTTTACCTCATTTGATTTTCAGACATAAAGGAATGGTACCTTATTCTATTTATGAAGCTGACTATTTACTTTGCAACATGTCTTAAAGTTTCTCCTAATTTTTGTTTTCAAAAAATCTTTAACAGGCCTCAACAAATAATGAAAGCTCTAATCACAGTTTTGGAAGCTTGGGATCTTTGAGTGATAAAGAGTCGGAGGTAAGTAACTTAATTCAAAGTACGATACTATTAAAATTAAAGCTGGAATTGCTTTTTTTTAATACTACATTTTTTCCTTCATTAATCCCTGTGCTTAAGGTTAATGCTTAAATTCCCAGTGGGAGTATTTTCTGTCTGGGAAGCAAAGATTTCAGACTGAAGATTGTATTTGATGTTAGAAAATACATAGTTTGGTTTTGTAGTTGAACTTGTATAGTTGTGGTATATTCTTAATGGAAGATAATCATTAGCCATTAATTCTAGATGGTGGATTTTTAAATGCTTGTGTTTGTTTTTCCATTATTTCCTGTTATACTTGGCTCCTATTTTGGTCCTGAGTGAGGGTTCATTTACTGTCTGAGATAATTAATATACCAACCCTGATCTCCTTACCCCCAACCCCCCTGAACTTTCTTCTGGGATTTCGTGCTGTTGGTTTTTACCTTTCACATATTAAAATATTTTTAAAATCCCCTTCCTTTACACCTACTGACCCCACTAAGAAAATGCATGGGGTTTTTGTAAGTAGGCATTTGGATTTGTGGTATAGTTCACATTAAGCATAATAAATACTGGCATCTTTTCATAATGTGTAAACAGGAAGTTCTTAGGATTTTAGTGTTTACTTGTTGATGCTGCAGCTTCACTTTTTTATGGATACAGCCTGCAATATTTTCTCTTCTCAGATTATATAATCCTGTCTACTTTTCAACATTTTTATGTGTGTATGCATGTGTGTGTGTTTGTGTGTTTCATTTTTTTGGTGTTAACTTATCTCTACTTGATTCAATTTTAACCTTTTTTTTCCCAATTGGGCTAGTGTAGATTTATCACCTTCCAAGTACCAGTCGGTGGTTAGTAGTCAGTAATTCATAGCCTTTTGTTTTTGGTGTTCAGTGGAAAGGGACTCTCAAAAGTTGGCATCTTTTTTTAGCCTTGTTTTATTGAAAGCATCAAGGAATCTCCAGGTAGACAGTTTTTCAATTTTCTTCAGGCACCCTGACACTCCAAAGGAGTGTGGCATAGGGCTCTCACTCATCAGGCTTTCCCTTCCACAGAGACAACTGGCAGGCAGCTGAAAGGACTGTGCAAGTGACGGGACTTTATCTGCAGTAGGTTCCCTTGAGGTAAGCGTTAGCAGCCCCAGATGATCACAGTTTAGTTTTCTCCAAGTTAACACACTTACATTAAATCCTTAAATATTGTAGTTTCAGATCTAGTCAAACCACAGATTTTAAAAACTATCAAGAATGTTTTCACTTTATGTGTCCTGGACTTTGGAACATTTCTTGATATTGCCAGTGATATAATTTGTTTAGTAATTTCACATGCTTCTTTATTCACAAACTTATGAGGGAGAATAAAGTAATTTTAGATGACCTTTCTGTTTACCAAGTATGGTGTTTTTGATAGATTTTTTAAATTCATACTTTTTGGTGGGGGATGAGATGGTCTCTGCCCAGCAGTGCTCAGGGATTAATCTTGACTCTCAGGATTCCAATCCTGGCTATGTGAGGGGAACATGTAGTGCTCGGATTCAAACCTAGGCCTGCATTCAGTGTATGTGCATCAGCCTGTTGAGCTATCTCTCCATCCTTAGATAAGATATTTTTAAATGATGGTACATAGTAAAAGATCATCTATAGTACTTAAATCTTTGTTTTTAATTGTTATTCACATATTATTCCCATCCTGAGTTACAGATCCCATGTCTGAATACTTTTTAAAAATGTATCAGGTCATTAGAAAATACTGTTTTGCTTTTAAAAATTTTAAGTATCATTTTTGGCAGTATTTTTGATTAAAATGTTGAATATTTTTTTAAAGAAAAACTAATGTTTTTTGCAGTGAAATGCAATTTGACTAACAATGATATATTTAGCTTTATTTAAAGGTCATTATTTATAAGTGAGTTTTGGGGGGTTTATTTTGGGGGTTGGGGCTTTTTGTTTGATTTTTGGACCACACCCAGAAATATTCAGGGATTACTCCTGGCTTGCTTAGGGGATCATATGGAATGCTGGGGATCAACCCAGGGTGGCCACATGCAAGGCAGGCATCCTACCCTCTGTACTATCATTCTAGCCATTTCATAGGTTACTTAGTAAAGTTGTTGGCAGTTAAGCTAATGCAGTCTAGTTTTCTAGTTAACAGAGTTCTGTGTTTCTTGGTACCTGAAACTAAAGTTTATGTAGTATTTCATTGTCTTCTGGTGCAAATTTATTCTTTTGGTAATTTGTGCCCTGATCAATTTAAATTTTTTTAACAATAATTTTTGATCTTTATGAGAAAACAGCACTAAAGGGTCTATTTAAAATAATACCTTCATTTCCTTAATGGTAAGTTTATTTAAAACAAAAATTTTACTACTACCTACCTGGTTCTACCATGCTTATCTATATTCCTTTAGTTTTCCTCTGGCATTATTTCTATATTTTAAAAGATACATGCCTTGCTATTCTGGTTCATTGATTGAGGTTTTATCAATCCTTACTCCCTGTTAGGATTTTTGAAGATTTTACATTACCAATATCCAAGTTTCCTATTTTCTTCTTATTCAGCACTCATCTCAACGTACAGAATCTGATTTGGGTTGAGTTTTTTTTGTTGGTTTGTTTTTGCAATAAAATGGCATTTTATATTCATTTTCATTAAAACTGCCTCAAATGTTTTATACCAAGTTTATATATTAATTATTTCATTATTTTATATAAAAATTTTCCCCCCAAGTTTTTCGGTCAAATGCAAGGATGCTTAGGGGTTATTCCTTGCTCTGCACAGGAATGCTATCTAGCCGTGTTCCGGGGAACATAGAGGATGCCAGCGATCAAACCCAGATCGGGTACACTCACAAGGCAAGCTCCTTACCTGCTGTACTATCTTTCCACCCCAATTTCTATGTGTGTAGAAATTGTGGAACAAAAGACTTTTCTTTTTGCATACGAAGTTGCCTAATACTTAAGAAGGTGTTCATTTTATTTTACTTTGTTAAGTTTTTCTTGGTAGATTCAATGGGCACAAAAAGTTCTTGTGTTTCTTTTTTTTAATAAGGACTTATTAACAATCTATTATCTTCTAATTCAGCAGTTCCCAAATTTATTTGGCCAACCACCCCATTTTCTAGCAAAACAGAAAATGGTGTACAAATTGATCATGGGCTACATATCTCCCACCCTACCATCATTCTTTATAATATTAATTAGAAGTAATTGTGCCAGAACAAACTTTCATAAACAATGTGAAATATATTTTAATAGATGTAAGCACAAGGTACTGTGGTAGTGAAGAAGCCCCTAATACATTATACTTGTAAGTGAGTGCAGGGAAGAGATGTCTTTCTTCAATTCGAGAGAGGAACATTGTTAGAAAAAACTAGAAATTTATCCCAGGAGATAGTGAAAAAGTATTAAGAGATGGAAGGTAGAGGGACTAGGAAATACTTTTGTTACTGCATGGAAGCATGGTGAGGAATTTGTTTCAAGCATAGGGTAGTGATTATCAATTACTGTTGCACTTTAGATAACCTGAAGAACTTTAAAAGTTCTTGATTCCACTTGATGTAATTCTACTTAAAGTAGAATTAGTAGGATCAGATGACCTTGAATAAAGAGAGGGATCTAGGATATCTTAAAGGTGGATAGCTTTATACATTGACTTTATCCATCCACTATGTATGTGAATGATCATGCCTTTCACTGAAATAGACAATGAATACTGAAGACTAATAGATTTGGCATAGCAGGTTATGAATTTAATGAGGGTCAACACTGACTTTAGATACCTATGAAAAAAATAAGTGCATATAGCTCTCCATTTATGCTGTAGGAACTGCTGAACTATGTGGAGCTCAGCAGACATCAGACTAGGAATGATGTAGGAGTTTTTGGCATAGGTAAGCAGATCTCAAAGTATAGAGTCTGAGAAACCTTAAAACTTGGGGGCCTGCAAAGGATTCTTTAAAAAAATTTTTTTTTAAACCTGTTGTAACAATTCTAAGACTATTTGCCTTTTTTACAATAATGCTAAAACATATTTGACAACTTAACCCTTTTTTCATGAGTTTATAGTAGAAATTTCCAGAGTACTATGATAGGACATTATCTTTCTGATGATTTGTGGATTTTGATCTTACTAAAGTGCTTTAAAACTTGTAGTATTAAATTCAACTCTGGTAAATATCAGTGATTGTGACTCATGAATAAAAGCTCTGTGGTGTCTCGGTGAATTTTAAGAGTTGTATTGGGGTTCTGGTATCCATAGTTTTTTTTTTATTAGGCAGTTATTTATAATATTGCTGGTATTAGTGTTTGAAGCACAGAGTATTGCTACACCACAGCCACCACCAAAGTGCCAGCATTCTTTTACCATTGTCTCTAGATCTCCTTCTCCCCACACTCCCAGCAAAATTCATTTCTATAGTCAGACTGTCAGTGGGAGGGACCCAAATGTTTAAAACTTGCTTTTGTAGATGAACTCATCCTGATTGTGTAATGTTAGCAGGCAAGATGGGTGTACTGGAGAAAGACAGACAAGGTGTGGATAACAAGTTGGAAGAAAAATAGAAGAAAACAATGGAGAAAAATGATAAAATTGTTATTGCATTCAGTTAAGATAATGACTATAAGAAGACAGAATTTTATTATCACTTAGGCTTTGTTTTAGTTGGTAAATGGGAACAAGAAGCCAGATTGATTAAGGAACTGTTGGAAAATGAGAAAATCACTGTATCACTGTCATCCTATTGTTCGCTGATTTACTCGAGCAGGCACCAGTAACATCTCTATTCGTCCCAGCCCTGAGATTTTAGCAGCCTCCTCTTACTCGTCTTTCCCAATGATTGGAGGCTCTTTCAGGGTCAGGGGAATCAGGGGAATGAGACCTATTATAATTACTGGTTTTGGCATATCGAATATGCCACAGGGAGCTTGCCAGGCTCTGTCCGTGCGGGCATGATACTCTCAGTAGCTTGCTGGGCTCTCTGAGAATATATATATATTTTT